CGCTGGTAACTATGATATCGTCAAAAATAAATTATTGTACTTTTACCTAAAACTGGCTTTAAGACTATGTCCATAGCTTTTTGGAACGTAGCTGGCGCTCCGCTCAAACCAAGGGGCATTCTTTAAAAGGCGTAGACGCTGACTTTGTTATAAACGCGGTCTTCTGGACATCCTCCGGCTTCACGGCGATTTGAAAGTAACCCGACGTGAGGTCTAGGGTTTGTCATGAATTTAGTCGAGCGAATGTTTTCTGATGATTTCATCAATTATTGGTAGGGAATATGTGGGATATTTTGGTTTATACTGTTTAGCTTACGATAATCAACTGTAAACCTATACGCGTCCGCGTGTTCAGGCGGTAGTCCGTTCTTTTTTCTACAAAGGACCACCGGACTTGCGTAAGGGCTCGTGCTTGGTACAATTATTTTATTCTTTAACATAGTTTTTATATGAGTTTCCAAAAATTTCTTCTTTTACTTTATCGTACTACCGGTAAGGTTTTGACCGGACTGGAGGGGCATTCCCAGTGTCTATGGAATGACTAACTACCTGACAAAACCCAGGTTTTTCGTTAAACAAACAGAAGAATTAAATTTTCTTACCAATCCTTCAGTCTTCTTTTTCTCTTTTTCTTCAAGAATTCAAATGTTCTAGGTTTCAATTCCGGCATGGAAATTTCCTCTTCTTCTACCGGGTCCTGTGCACCTGAAACGTAGAATTCTGTAAATTAAGATTTGCGCAGGATGCGCGTAAAAAATCGATCCCCAATATCACTGATGTGAGTAAATTTTTCACGACTAAAAAATTAATTTTTTAGGACCTCGTTTTTAATCTGAACATGCAGTGCGGTTTTACTCCAAAACATACGAACTGTTTGCCTTGGGCTACCAACTCACTTTTTGTCCCGTCGCTTTAAACAGTCTGTAACGAAGAAAATGTTTTTTGAAAAAAATTTTCCGATAGGAATGAACATTGTGCCCCTGTGTGTCCAGGAGTGCAGTGGTTGGTACATTATTTACCAAAATCTGTACCTCCGGCATAGCAAGATTTTGTACTACGACTGTATTTAAACAAATTTCTGAGGGGTCTTCTGGCCCACTCGGTGACCGTTGCCCCTTCTCGAGCACCGGTTTGCGCTTAAAGTCTGGTTACCTGCCGCCTCTTTCGCTAATTTTTATATCCACCGCCCTTAGATTTATCTGCGCTCTTGTTATTGAAACTTTTTCACTTTTTCCCGTCTGCCGAAACGCCTTGTACTGAACTTGTGGTTTTTTTGTGGGGAGTAAATCTTGAGTACTGGCCAAACGGACTTGCACGCGCTTTCTCTGAGTTTCTTCTACTTTGAAATTTCATTGCAAGCTGGAAATAGAATTTCCAATATTTGCGGATTACGCACTTCGAGAAAATCTTGCGCTGACGGTAGAAGATGCGTTGCAGAATTAGTTTCGAATAATTTCTTTATCGGGCCCTTTTTTCCTGTATAATAGATTAAAAATATGAACTTTTCTTAAAATGAACTCTGTCAAATCCTCGAAACCGCCTTGGTATTTACTATATAATTCTGATTCAAGCTTCGCACGATCTTTAACAACTGGAAATGCTTTATTAATGTAGATTTGAAATTTTCCCAGTTATGATTCAGATCCTGGGTCCCCCAGCAAGAACTTTCCTATACTCTTCTGCCAGCTAATGGCTTGACCTTTTAAAACTGTAGCGATGATCACTTTTTGTAGCTGATTCACAGGTGTAAGGTGAAATGTAGGTCTAGTTGCTCCAAAAAAATGTGAGGACTGAGCTCTTGCCATCGAAAGTGGCTGTTGGTTTCATGGCTGCATGCAGCGTTTCCACGAGGAAGGAATCCAAACCCTTCTACTGGATGTTGTAGGGACCTGAAAGGTCGGAGGGTTCAAGTAAACTCCCGGAATCTAACGACATGGTCCGTTTAGAATTCTTTTCGGGCGCCAATTGTAAGGTCCCTCACTTGAAATTCTAAGTTAATGTTGGAAGTGAGGAACCTAGGAACTGATAAGCGAATAATCGCTAGTTTCGAAGACAGGAGGAAACAACAAGAGAGAAGGGTAAATAACCCTTTATTGCTTCGATAAGATTTAAACAAAACTCCGCCTGGGAGTGAACAAATAAAGTCCGCACTTTGGACTTGAACTTAAAGACTAAGAATTAAACTAAAACTAAGATTAACTAACTAAGTATAGCCAAAGCTATCAAGGTTCAATGAGAGTTGGCCCCTTAACCTATTTTTTCTACGAAGCTTAGCAAGGGCCTGAGTACGGCCGAGCGTAAAAAATAGCTTTGAGAGAGAGAGCGGCCAAAAAGGCAGACGCGCGTAGTTTCAGAAACTCTGTTTCTCTCTCTGTCTCAGTAAGTAACTTCGTGGTTTAAATACCGCTCCTTCTCATTAAATATTCAGCAAAATTCCAAAACTACATTCTGGTCCGGAAGTATAAGTTGAAGTTAAGAATTTGACAGGAAAGGAACTTTAACTAAAATTTAAAACTGTTAATAAAATTAACATAATCCTTACAAGTTTTTAAAATATGCTGTGTGAAACGCTTAATATTTTATACATGAATATAATAAACAGAAATTATAATAAGAAAACTTATTCAAGGAGTGTAACTCCAACGAAAACAAGTATATAAATGTATATTTAAGTTTAATTTCTAAGGGAATAAATTTAATACCATGTATTTCATCAGCAGGCCTAATACAGTCTAATACAATCAAAAGGAAAACGCTGCCTTTAATGGTTGCATACGTCTTGTATCTTTAAATGAGTAGCTAATTATAAAAATCTAGTGCAACCTTAATACGACGTTTATATGAGACATTTTCTCTCTATTTTGCGTAAAATCAAGACTCAAAAGAGAACGAAAATACACATGATTTTTATATTTATTATTTACAATAATTATTGCTTGTTCATCATATTTATTATTTATTTACTATGGCCTTTAAATGTTTTAAAGTGAGTTATGTCAAGAACGCATTTTGTTTTTGGCGGTTGTACTTTATAATTATATTTAAGAAAATACTTTTCTAAAATTATTAAAAAGTTCATGTTTTATAGTTGTGGAAATGAATAAGTTTCCTAAAACTGTGGTATGTCCATTTTTTTAATATGGTGAAAATGCTTATATCTACGTTTTCTATTTATGTTTAGCTCTAAATTATATCTTTTCGAAGGTGTTAACAAAATGTAAAAAAACTACTAACATGGCTGTAAAATATTCTCAGTGAAATTTTATTAGATTTACTAAGTGAATAATTTTATTTATTTCTAAAACTATTCATCTTATTCATTTTCCTTACGTATTTATTTTTATTTCTAAATTTATATTAAAGTGCCTAAAAATGTATTTGCTTAAAAACATTCTTTTTAATGGGTGCTATGAAAATGTTTATACTTTTTTCCTCTTTTAGAGTAGGAGCTAGCAACTCACTTCAGTAATTGCTAATCCACGATCATTTTATTCCTGGGCACAACCATCTGTGTATTTCAAAGGCGGCGGCTTTAGTTTCGAATATTTATTGCAATGTATCTGTCATAAAAGTTACCAACTTGTGTTGATTCAATAAAAATATTTTTGCTCTTCTCTATGATTTCTCACTAAAATAGTATGATATGAAACATGAGATAAAATTTTAATCATCTACAAACAAATGGACCAATGAGGTGTATAACGTGTTTTAAAACTAAATCGCATGTACTAAGCTAAAAATACCAGTTAAATGACTGACTGGAAAATTCTTCATTACAGAATTCAGAAGAAAATAATTTATCTTATTTGTTACCTCTTGATTACGATATTTCAAAACTAAAATTATTTGTTAGAACTGTCAAAATATTCTACTCTTGGCACCACATAAGTTCACAAAAGAGAATTGATATCGTTCCTTTGCTAGTCAATAAGTCTTAGGAATCGAAGTATTAAATATAGATAGAGAACTGTGATTTACATAGATTTTGCTTTGCTATAAAAAACTCGTCTGCTAAGAAATTATTTTTTTAACTGTAACTTTACTTTTGAAGGTATAAATAATCATCTGCTCCTTGGCAGTTTTATTTACATTACAAAATGGCACTTTTAACATTCACAGGGATGTAAATATAGAACATCTTTAAGTATCAGGATAGAAATTTTTATCTTTAATTTTATTCCATGTTTTGGAATGAAGAATAGTTAAAACAATCAATTATTATTTTTAAAAAAGCACTCTTTTTTGCGGGAAACATGCTGTTGAAACTTCTTTCACTTACTTTAGTAACGCCGAAAATGACCATAGTTATTATCTAGGCATAATAAAATTCAGCGCATTTAAAATTTTAAAAGTTGGTAAATTGTTAAGAAATGAAGCAAATATTTAAATTAGTAAATAGTGCGTATATTGCGTTTAATAACTCAGTTCAGTACCACTATAAATTGAAAGATAAATTTCAGAACTTAGGCACATCGAATGACAGTACTCTTTAAATTGTCTCTTCAATAGCTGCGCGGAAACGAAGAACTTATATAGCTCGAACAATGGTAACACTTAACACTAGGCTGAGTAGATCTCTGTAAGACCTAATGAATAGGAGTGAAAAAATCAAAGACGCAACTGCAGAAATTTCTAATCTAAAAAATTTTGGACATAATGTTTATAATGATTTAGCAAAATTTAACCGAAATTTGGTACTTGCCCGAACTACATCTGAAGTGTTTTCAATAAAATAAACAGATATATCATAAAGAACAGAAGTACTTCTTATTTACTTTTTCTTTTTTTTTCAAGTTTTATCCACACGTCCATCACAGTAGTTTATAATTTAGAAGCAAAACTAAAATCTCATCTGCTTTCAATTACACTGCTAGCCATTAAAATGCCATTACAATTAAGGAAAGCAAATACAAAAAGGAAATTTATTGCGGTAAACAATATGGCAGGGAGACAAACTTATTAAATTTGTAAGCATTTTTACAGTGGTGCGAAATTAATAGCAACAGCTGCCAGCTCTGGCAGCTAAAACGGCCCTTACCCCATCAGGCATGAAGTCAAACTGGGCTTCGAAAACAGAAACGGGCAACACATTCTATGCTGCTTCAAGTCTGTGCCACACTTCATCAGCCGTATTGTGGAGGGCCAGTCTCTCAGCAACCTATGACCAAATGTTTTCAGTGGGGACAGATCTGGAGACCGTGAAAGCTAGGACAGCAATCGAGTATCCTATGTATCGAGCAAGGCCAGAACACGACGTGGAATATGTGGTCTTGCATTATCTTGTTGGAAAATGGTGTTTTGGAGCCTCGAAGATAAGGCACAACCACTGGACGTAAGGTTTCAGAAATGTACCCATCTGCGTTCAAATTGCCGTCGATCCGAACTAGAGATGTGCATGTCGTGTACCCCATAGTGTGTACCCCATGTCGTGTACCCCATCACACTAGGGGCAGGGCCCCTATGCCAATATCGGATATCGAATGCAAGCAGGCGACGTGCGGTCTCCAAGGACACTCTATCAGAATACTGCAAGTAGAATCGGAGCTCGTTTGAAAAGGCGACATTATGCCACTCCTGTAACCAGTTTTGTCGTTTGGTGCACCAGAGTCGCCGTCTCCCTGTAGGCTGCGACATTGTGCTACTCCTGTAACCAGCTTTATCGCTTGGTACACCAGAGTCGCCGTCTCTCTCTAGGCTACATTGTTAAGGGAAGCAGATGTGACGGTCACCCTGCTGTTAGTCCACGCCGCTGCGCACCTTACAAGCTGATGCTGCTGCAAACATGCCCGTTTCCTGACTAATGGTTCGTGATGTGCTCGTACCCTATTGCAGGGCTCACCTCACAATGATGAGAGAGAGGACAGAATGTCCAGAAAGGACACAATGTCTGTCCTCTCTGGCGTTAGTCACGGGAGGGCGTTGAGATCCTGCATGCCGTTCAGTATGACACTCAGCAATCCATTGATTCCATATTCCCATGACAGTGGTTAGATGTCGATCCGTGCGACTGGCGATATCACAGAACGGTAATCTGCACTTTCCATAGGCAACGATTCTGCTTCTATCGAATTTCGAAACTTGCTGTTATCTTCTTCTTATTCGAGACATAACACGATATTCTACGCAAACTCCAACCTTATAAAGGACGTTTCGAATGACTACACTACTTTTCTTATATGCATTGCTTCAGATGTCGTTTCTCGCTCCTACGTCTTCTGGATGAGCTGCAGTACTAATCATTTGCATATCCCAACTTGTTCTTCCTTTCTTGTGATTTTGATGTTCGTCAGATCATTCCATCCTGGTGTTGGAATTTTAATTGCCAGCAATGTACAAAAATGCCAACATTTAGTTTTCTGCAAACATAATACATTACTTATTAACATCACTCATTCTGCAATAAATCATCATAATAAATCATTTGCAATAATCATAACAGTCATTAGAGATTTTGCCTTCCTTTTTACTTGAGGTTTTGGAAACGTGCTGTGCTGTCAGTTTTATTTGTATCCATTCAAATCTGATGTCAAATGAGAGAACCTCGCGCAACAGCTCATTATATCGTACCCAAAGTGAACTGCAGCAGCAATATTGAAAAACTGAACCACATTCTGAAAGCAGTGAGCATAAATGTTGGCTCACTACAGCATATTAAAAGGTTACACAGCGTTGAGCTAAAAAATCATGTTTCGAATTTGATGCCGAATTATTTCTTCATCCTTTTAATACTACTATTGGAAACATTTCAAACACATGACTTTCAGTGTAAAAGTTGTTCATAATCCCAATACAAATTTTGCTCTTGAAAAATAGCTTTCATTTACTTCTATTTTAACACCTATCGAACTCCTTCATAGCTTAAAATATACTAAAACGCAAAACTCACGGAAAGAAACCTTAAAATATTGATATATGTCAAATAATGATAATGAGATCTAAATTATCCTCCAAACGAACGTTGTAAAATTTTTCAACACCTGCAAACCAACAAAACTCTTGTTGTTACTGAAGCCCGCAAAGAGGCAAAATTATCTTCTTGGTGTCAGTAAACTACTCAATGAAGACCTTTCAAGAATTTAAAAAGAGATTCATTCGATTTATATTTATTCAAAATTAAACTAGTTTTAGTTCATGCCAAATCTTGAGCATTTCCCAAAGACGCAGCTATTTTTTTTTTTTTTCTTTTTTCTTAATGCAACGATTTTATGCTCTTCGAAAACTTCGCAAAGAAGACACATCATTCCGTCCCATTCTTTCCAAACTCGGTATCCTCTCATTTAAGAAAATATATTACCAACAGTTGTTTACTATTATGCTCATTCTAAGCATCTAGATTGTGACTCTAGATAATCGCATAATATAGTAATTTGCCTTGAAACTGAGTTTACTTCTAAATATATTCAAATTTTTGCTGTTCGTTTCTTTGTTCTAGACACAAAGTACAAATGATTAAGAGACGTTTGTTTCCAAACTATCATATGTTTAATAAAACCTGAGAACTTTAAGCTATTAGATTTCGATGTGTGAGCTGTAAGTACCAACACATTTAATGCGTTACTGCAATTGGATTCAGAATTTCAAATCACAAAAACAAAGCTCAGAAATTGTTCATGATAGCTAGATAATGAACTACTGAAAGTGGCACTATAATGCTCTTAAAAATGTGCTAGTAATTAGATTTCCGGCGCTATGCCTGCAAAATGTCTGAAAACAGTCCTGCTAAACATTATTTCAGTACTAAAATCTGAAATAAAAATCTACCTGTGTATACTGTAAACAAACTATTTATCTATTCCTGTTAACTTTCTATTTTTATTCGAAGTTGTGCATCTTCTTTTGAAATAACGAGCTTACTAGAACTCAGTTACAGAAGAACCACAATAAATGAGAAGGTATCTCTACCTAATTAACCCAAAATACATGAAATTGGATCATAGTAATCGCATCCCATTGATAATGGTATCATGAGACTTATTGTACTCCGTACCTAAAATACAGAATAATGTTCGAAATTTAAAAACGAATGACCTTATGTACCATGTGTAGAGTCATTTATTTTTTCGAAGCAGCAATAGCGAAATTATGCAGTGCTCTCGCCGAGACTCAAACCGGGGACCTGTCGAATACGCGTCGAGTATGCTTCCAGTTATCCCACGAAGGCATGCGGATCTACTCCTCCTTTCAAAGGGCGGCTGAGGAAGATGGAACCTAATCGCCAATCCCTGGTAGTGACGAATTAGTTTGGGCGTCACTTATAGAATCATTGGGTCTTTTAAAGCAGGAGACGTGAAAAATGTGCAGTGCCCTTGCCGGGATTCGAACCCTGGATCTTTCGAATACGCTTCTAGTATGCTTCTAATTACACCACGAAGACATGCGGAAAGGAGGCAGAAAATACTTTATACTACAACAATGAAATAAGTATTTTCCTTTATATGTCCCTCATCACTAAAAAAAATGAAGTGGAGATGATATTCAAGACATTAATATATCAATAAAAAACCAATTTGGGTACTAGTAAAACTAAATAAGTGGAAAACATATTTTAAAAGCCGAATCTGACTTACAGACCAGATACAGATACAGGTAAAGGTATGGGAGAAACAAGCGATGCCTTCCCATACTAACTCACATAATTTTTGCAAGCTTTATAAGAGTTTTACAAAGAAAGGTTTATGAAATGGTCAACTGAAACTTTCCAAAATGTATACTACAGTTTACCTATTATGGTACAACGGGCAATCCCACAGGAAAACCGCGCATCCAGTATTAATTAAAAATAATGATTTAGGATATAAAGAGATTACAATATAGTTTCAATACAATTTGGAATATACAAATTAAACTGAACATCTGTTTTGGTGTATGATAAATAATAGATAAACATAATAAGTAACAGATAAACATAATGAGATAAATATAATAATTAGTGAGAACACAATGCTGTAATGAACTATAGTAATAATAGTAATGACATATAAACTAAGATGCGATACATCCGTTCATAATCGTGAATGTTCCTTTATTGCGAAGAGGACTCGCCAACGGAAAGTTTGCTTGGCGACTTTGGCGCTATGTATATACCCCGCAGATCTGCAAGGAATTCTGAAACGCATAAAATACAAGTGGATGTGCATTCTAGCTTTAAACGTTTGAAACTCCTTTTCATTATTAGCAGCTCAATCTAGGTGATACTTCCTTTGTTTCGAGCCGTAAGTTAATTTTTTTATTAATAAAAATCATCACTGACTAAATTTGCACCGTAGAAAAATAGTTGAATTTCTTAAAGATTTTAGTAAAGAAAGTAATTTTTAAGAATTCCCCGCTACTTCCTACTAGAGAGATTCCTTTCAAATAAGCTCTTTCTCTTATACTCGAATATTTTAAAAAATATATCGAAAAGTATCTTGGCGTTTAGAGCAGTTTCACAAAATTAACAGAAAAACCATCTAATCTAAAAATATTAAATATTAATGAGTAAATAAGCGATACATATATCACGAAAATATGAGATGTATTAAGTATTATTCTTTGTTATATTTTATGACTATACAGTAAATAAAGTCTTTAATAACAACATTATTCTTCATAGGCGGACACCCTAGCGTATTATTAATGAGTGCAGCAATCAGGTTGTGTGTGTGTGTGTGTGATTATGGCAAAGCCTCGAGGGCTATCTGCCTAAGGGGAGGGATGCCTTCGTGGAGAACTTTCTAAGGGATACTGGCTCGTATGCACGTTACACATGGGGAAAACCACGAAACCGCCCATGCAGCTAGCCCGTTTGCGGGATTCTAACCTCAAACCGAACTACCAGTGTTCAGCGACTTTACCGCTCGGCCGCTGGTGGGCCCCGCTGCAATCAGGAAATCCGCATAATCATAAAATTCTGAAACAAACATTTGTCAGTTTTATTGCGAGTTTAAACAGATCATGAATTTGTGTTTTTACTGTGTCTCTTTTATTATCCGCATTCTCGAAACATATTCCACAATTGCACAAATAATACGAGTATATAAGAAGACATGCAGCAGTTAAGATTCGAAATTAGAATAACTTGCACCTACGACTTGCTTCAACTTACATTTATGCGACTGTCTGAGACATGAGGTTTGTTATTTCTTTGGAATTCAATCTTTTGCGGACAGTTTTTTGGAATATGCTTCCTTCCTTTAGAAATTGGAGATTAGAAGTTTTTAAATTTAATTTAGCCCTTTACCTCACTATTTGGAACAAAACACTACTAGTTATGGCTCTTTCAGCTCTCAACGATCGAAGCTACCCATAAATGCTGCATTATGTATTACTTACCGCTGTGAATATTTTTTTTACTATGCATCAATCGATTTTCCCTGATACAAATGAAAAGTAACTATAGTGTCCCTAATAAAGGGATAAAAAGGCCAAACCTAGAATTTTCTTCTTTTAGCGTTTAGTCACGTGCATTTCACTAGTTCCAGTGTTTCATCCGATGTTAAAAAGAGAAAGCTACAATACGAATTATGTCTGATGTAGATAAACTATTCATTATAACAAATAATAATTCAGTGTTTTTCAAAACGTAAACGGTGCCAACCTTCAAAAACCTCTTTACTTAGCAACAGCGTTTTTGCAGATACGTGATGTTATCAAAATGTTGTCAGTTTCATAACATGCGTTTAATATTAAGTATTTAATATATGTTCAGCGGTGTATTCTAATAATATTTAAGGCACTGAAAAAATACGTTTTATGAATTGTTTATAAATACAATTAAAGATTTTTTTAATTAAAGAATTTAGGTTTTATAAATGTAATTAAAGAGTCCAAACTTGGTAATCTCATAGCATTATCTCTGAGGAAGCTTTACAGAAGCAAATTTTAAAATATTTTTTTAAGCTTTTCATATAAATTTGAATTTTTTACTTATGAGCTTGGCTTTTTTCATGGAATTAAATCAAATTTAAATACTAATACTAGACAATACAATCTGAATTTCATGCCCCTGATCTTGGCTTTTTCTACGCAATTATGTCAAAGTAAAATACTATGAGACAATACTCAGTAACACAGACTTCTAGATCTACCTGTATATCTATCTGCTTTTTCTGCAATAATTCTAAATACTCCGCAGGGAAACTTCAAAATAGTATTGCGAGCAAATACCTTTGGCACTCTTTTTTTTTTTTTTTTTTTTTTACAGATGTTATTTCAGAACACTCCTCTCCAAAATGATGAAATTACTTCTTGAACTGATAGACTCTGTTTTTAAATTCTAAGACTGTTAACAGTTTTGATCTACTCTGCTATGTGGAAAACACTTTTCTAATCAAAATGTTTTAATTATGAGACGTAAAGACGTCTAAATTTAAATTCTGCATAATATTTTTTTAATAACTACCTGTAACCAAAATATAGCACTGCGAAGGCTTTTTTAATATGTCTCATTTTTTAAATCGAGGCCATGGTTCTACCATATAAATATACAAAAAAGCAAAGAAATCATAATTACTAGCTAGCAATGGGATCCTTCGTTCAGAGGAAGCAACTATGAAAATATTTTATAATGCTCTCAAATTCAGATATTTTTGAAGTTATATATAAATGTTAATTGTTCATGAAAAATTGCTCTGAGGCACGTATCTGATTACAGTACTCTTGAAATAATGATCTTTGAAATGAGACTTTACTGTAGGAAAGAAAATGTAGTTTGAATATGTCAGTTTTAGTTAATAATATGAAAAGGTATTGTACGATTTTTCTTTGGTAGAAAGAAATAGCTAGAAAATTATGGAATTTTGTCAAAGTGCATTGTCGGATTGATAGGGGAGCTAGACTTTTCCAGGGTCTCTTGTGAAAACACTTAAGTAACTGTTAACCATCCCTCTCAACGAAACTTTGCCTTATTAATATGAAGAATATTGTATGAATTTCATTCTTCTACCAATATCGTTTATTCCATACAGTTTTGAGATGTCAGAAGAACACCCCCAAGTGTCTTTTTGTATAATTCGTTAAAGGCATGTTCAACACATTCCCTCGGTTCGTTAGCTGCATACGACGAAGCTTTGTGCTGAAAAATGGAATTGAAAGGCTCAAGACCAAAACTGTTTAAATTGGGACTGTTCAGTGTTTGTGATTTAAATGGAATACACCAGCCATCTTTAAAACTATTAACTAAGGTCTTCATCGTTATTTCAAGCATGACGTTTTGTAATATCCTGTTGTACATATATCGATTTTTGCTCTGCGTTAAGAGAATTTTAGTCTTCATGTCCGGTTACGTCATTACGAATAATGTTTTTACATTCAGTAGAACTGACGGGCTCCACCTGTTTTGTTACGAAAGCGCCTTTAGGTGTATTTCTCAAGTTTCGCTTAGTCGATTATCGATAAACAGGTATAGACTATTAAGTTTGTCAAAGCACGAAACCTGAAAATTTTCCAATGCCCTCCCTCATACTCGAATGCATAAAGCATCATATCAAGCCATGAGAAATTATTAGCTTCTTTTTAAATATTTTTAGCTTTGTATTCTAGTTATTATGTTAGAATTATGAGTTATCTTTAAAATTCCCAGCATTGTTTTATACGATCGACCAGTAACTAATACTCATTACCAGTGAAGCTTTTAAAAAACACGTATGTGAATTTTTAAACTCAGAGTGCAAATTTCGAAATGAAGGAAACCTAACAGTAGATTTTTTCCCTTTACAGTTTTGCATCCCCTAAAAGTCATGATGAAGCAAATGATGCTAGCTGTGGTTCTCCTTGCTACTGTAAACGTTTCACTTTCATGTATGTTTCATGAAAAATTTGCTTCTTATTTTTGATTGCTTCATCTACTTTTACTAATTTTGAATATGAATGCATATACAATAGAAAATGTTTGTTTCTCTTTTTTCAGATAGAAAAAAGGAAATTTTAGAACATTTTGATTATTAAATATTGCTTACGTATACAAAAAACAAATTTTATTACTGATATGAAATTAGATAAATGTTCTGCGGCTTTAATGAGAATAAATTACGCTCTTTTACAACGTTTGTCGTAATATATTTATATAATATTATCAGTTTCTGGATCACTTACATCTCCAGTTTTTTTTCTTTCTTTATTTAAACACTTCTAACTACAACAACAATTTTTTTCCATCCTATTATTCTGTGCTTTGTTCTTTAGAATGTATCAAATATTGTCGAAGTACAGGCCAATAAAACTTTTCATTGAGATCAACTCACCTGGACGACAATTTCTGTTAGAACACAATTAAAGGTTGGTACTTAACATCATTATTGTAATCACCTCAAGCGTACTTAAAAATCATGAGAAACAGGAGAAGGAGTTTAAGTCATCTTAAGGTAGTTTCCGAGCGTTTTGTTAGCGAACCCATAATTAATTTAGAAGTCACTGATAATAATTTGGATATAAATATTACTACAGGAGTTTTTAAATCATATAATAATAAACTTAATTTATGTTTAAAGTTTTGTTATCAAAATTTGTCTCTAGTTTTCTCAGAATCAATATCATGCACAGTAAAATGTTTTAAAAATAAGAATAAAATATATAAGAACTATTAAAAGCTACTAAAGTCTCCTAAGCTTTTGCCATTCTAGATCAGGTACGAAAGGAAAATAGTAAGCAACAATTACGTAATTTAAATTAAAAGAAAATGTAATATAATTATAAGATCTGATGCCTGGGGCGTTGCGAGAAACTTTTCAAGTTTCATTTTTTATTTTCAAGGTGAAAAGAACGTTAATGTGGAGTACGGAATTTCAAACATTATTTTTTTTCTGAAAGGAGGCATAAAGTTCTTTTACAAAAGTTAACTTAAAAAAAACCACATTTTATATAAATATTTTAATACACGTACAAACTAACTGACAAGCGTCTTTACTTCTTGCTAAAAACAGTCAAAATATCTTCGACATTAACAGAAATATCAAAAATGTATATATAGCATATCAAGTGCACTTATTCTATCTTGGCTGTTTCTCAAGTAGGTCTGTCGTAATCAAAGAAAAGAACTTGTGATCTGGATGTTGTTTGAAATGTTCTTTCATTCTATCTAATATATATACGAAGGGTTACTAAGATTTTTAAAAATGTTCTTACTGTTGGAAAAATGTTCATCATTATATTCAGTGCTTCCATGGGAGATTCCACAGGAAATTTTCAAACTGGCTACTTGTCTGTACCGCAGTTCAAACTCCCCCAGTGCTTCAAGTTCACTAAAATAGACATCTTCCTGGTTTTTATATTAAATGTTGCATCTGTTCGTGCTGCTTAGGATTCATTTAAGATAAGTTACCATCCGGAAGAATGCACATGAATCTTTCTAGAAGCATCTTGTGTTTTAGTAGTCGTTTACTAATTTCGTTTATAAAATAGTCAAGGAATGGCAAAAACACAGCATTTCGAAAGTAATTTTATGTTTTGGTGTCTTCACTGACTCTGTCTTTTGGTTATCCTAGGTAAAGTGGTTTTCAACATCCAGATCGCAACAAAGGTTTTGTGCTGCAATAGATACATGTTTGAATATCTCCATGTCACTACTTCTCATATCATTCAGATAAGAACTCAAAACCTGTTCTTTAAATACATTGCTGAGGCTAAATCTGTATCTTTTTTCTGCAAAAAGAAAAGAGAGGCTGACTGAAAATACCCTTACCAGAACAGGTAAAGTTACAATAAACTCGGTTCTTCTAATAGCAACGGATCCAGATGACTAGTAACAGCAGTGGTTTTTGTTTCTTTTCCATGAGCTATATTATCCAAACTATCTGCCACTGATGAAAGTAGATCCAAACGCACAATAACTACATCATGTCTTTTAATACAAAGAACCGGATTCCTCTGCTTTAGACTTTTCTTATTTCAATCAGGAGACGTTTTATTGAAAGTTGGTGTCAAAATAGCTTATATTTTCGGTATATTAAGAAAATTATATACTGCAGTTATTGTACCAACACAAATTTGGATCAATCTGCATATAATGCAAATGGATATTGCTTATAAATACAGGCATTTTACACCTTTATAGCAGACACTAATATTTCTTGCCCAGACATAGCCTTGTTCTCTTTGATAATCCAAGTTTATTCCAAGTTCAGGCTATCTAGGATAACAGCAGTTATTTTTCCCCTTTGCAGTAATGGATAAGAAGCAAAACCAAGAATATCTTCTCCAACGTGACGTTCAGTTTCGTCAAAATACCTGGTACAGATAGAAAGCTGCTTTCCCCCTTTTAATATCTGCTGTTTTATCAGCTAAAATTGAGAAATAAAATTCATCACTACTTGGCCGATTATATCATTGCTACAGCACAATTTCATTTTAAACTTCCGGATTGTGTACAAAACTATATTTCACTTATAATTTTATGCACAATTTTCTAAATGTTCAATCGGATGTATCTGACTAAATGTTCAATCGGATGTATCGTCTAAATACCTAGTACAGATAGAGAGAGGCCTTCTCCCTTTTAATAACTGTTTTATCAGCTAAAACTGAGAAAAACTGGGAGAAATAAAACTTCGTCACTACTTGGCCCATTATGTCGTTGCCACAGCACTCCACTGTAAAAACGTTCTGTATGGTTGCTAAGAAAACTCATTGAAACTGAAATGCCGTGGGTTATTTAAGTTACAGTAACAGACGCGTCCTTTGTAAACTTAAGAGGATTATGCCTGCAATCGTTACAGAGCTGTTTCTTGTAAATCACAGCATATAATTATGTAAACAGAACATATTTTTCTCATGTAAAATTCAAAAGATATATCTGTAACGGTTACCGGCTATTTGCTTGAATTATTGCAGTAAGTAATTATGTGAGTAGAACGTACTTTTCTTAAGTAAAATCCCAGAGAATGTGTAACTGTTACAGGCTATTTGCTTGTATTATTGCAGCAAGTTATTATGTGAGTAGAAGATACTTTTCTTGTGTAAAATCCCAATGGATGTATTTGTAAAGGTTTCAAATTATTTCCTTCTAATGTCCACCTTATACTCATGAAACTTACTTTTGAAATTATACTCATGAACTATGAACTTCTGAATTTTACTAATTTTATAAAACTTGTAGAGACATTAGGTATTTTTGGAAGTGGACAAGATGAAAAATTAGCAACGCCTTCGCCGGGAATCAAATCGCGGACCTCTCACTCACGCGCTGAGCGTGCAGACAACCACACCACTAAGGCTCGCGAAGAAGGAGGGAGAAATACCTTATATACCCCCCTTTAAAAGGGTGACTGGGGTTTTTTAGGGGATCCAATCGCCAAATCCTGGGTAAGGAGAATTATCATCCAACACCCTTTTTTTAGTTCGAGCGCCACTGTAGAGACATTAGGATTTTTTGGAAGCAAGCAAGATGAAAAATATGCAACGGCTTAGCCGGGAAGCGAACCGCGGACCTCTCAATTACGCGCTGAGCGTGCAGACCATACCATCACGAAGGCTCGCTAAGAAGGGGGGAGAAATACCTTATAAACTATATTTAAAATATATTTAAAATTAGGAAAAATGTCAAAATTAATATTTAGTTACATTATGTATACATATATATCCTATATGTTTATTACTTTATTTATACTATGTTTATGTTATATTATTTATACAATATGTTTACTACTATTTATACTATATGTTTACACTATAATGTGTGCATACTTTATAGGTGTAATGAAACCAGGAAAATTACTGTCAAAATTCTCATGTAAATTTAAACATACCATACTATTATATATATGTATATGTATTTCATAGTTTTCATCTGTAAGACTGTATGTATGCCATTGTATAACTATATGTATCTCACTGTATGATCATATCAAAATTTTCAATAAATTACCACTAGGGACAACTGGCTGTATGGCCCATGCATCAGATGCTGGGTCTCTACGGTTGATGCAAGCCGCCTAAGTCTGCCCCCAGTTACCGTCTGGGGGCTCCCTAAACAATGGTAGACATGGTGCAATACCAATTAACCATAATGATAAAGGCATGATGCCCACGTCCTCCATCACCTGTCACCTGCACCTAAAGAAGAAGATCTGATTAAAACTTTCGAGACTAGTCCTGCAAATTTTGAAAAATACGCTCATACTTTTTGCTTTAGAGTCTGTCATCAATAATCATATCCCAGTTCTTATTCTGACATTTTGCCCATGCTGTTAGATACTATATTTCCCTCATCTTCCATCATGTAGAAATACGATTGCATGTGCACCTGAAAATTTTGGAAAAATACCATTAAGGAGGAAATAATTTATTGCTGCATTTCTCACAAATCTAAGGAACGCATGATAAAAATGCAATAAAATTAATACAAGTCGAACAAACAATGCTTTGATGATATTCAGTAACTGATTTAAACTGATTTAAAATGAATTCTGAGGAGATTTTTTTCGTGGCGTCTCTACGTACGTACGTATCTCGCATGACTCAAAAACGAGTAGCCTCAGAATGTTGAAATTATATATGTAGGACTGCTATAACATGTAGATGTGCACTTTGGATTTTGATTGCAGTCGGCCGCACCAAAAAATATATAAATATATGTATATAAATATCCACTCTGTTACTTGGCTCACTGAGCTCAGTTTCTTTATTCTTATATGTTTGTAAATTGTGCATTTTTTGATTTAAAAAAGATAAAATGATTGAATTATGTTGTTCTTATCTTCCGGTTAAGATTTTTTATGCCTTTAGTTAACCTGCATGCAATAATTGTGGAATTACCAACAATTAATAAGTGTTTTAAGTGCGGCTAAGCCTAATTTTTGATTATCATGGCAGCCATGTTTGTTTATATTTGCAAAAACAAATTAACGTCTTCTTTTATTATTGCGAATTAAATTATGTTTAATTCAGTCTGGAATTATCATTTAAGTTATTAGCTTGTTTTTGCGTAGAAACCGTAATTTTAATTGTAAAAATTGTTTTTTTAGTTGTTTTAACTGTACTTGGTGTTTTTTGTTTCTCTATATCTTTCAACTTTTAATGAAAATACTTGAATTTTCATGTATTTTTGCCTCGCCGCGAAGTGAGAACTGATATAATAAGGAGCGCATGCGCATTAGGTAACGGCGCTGAATCGGCTGTGTTTCTTTTTTATTTGTTTAAATTCTTTTATGTATCATTTTAGATTTATTATAGTATTTGAATAGAACATGTGGTAATTCTTCAGATGATATAATTTTGTGCACTCTGAGTTATAAAATGAATCAGATGTAATGCTGTTAAGTAAACCTAGCGCCGAAGTGAGTGTCCCTATGGTAAAAAAATATATTGAACTTAAAAGAGTGCATTTATTCTATTGTGGTTTATGCGCTGTCGACGAAGTTGATTTAATTCAAAATTCTTTAACTGTTAATTCAATATGTTTAAATGAAATGCAGGAAAATTGCGTATAATTTAATATCCCGCAGAAGGAAGTCATGTGGTGTACACATCAGATTTTTTAGATGTAAGTAAACAAAATATACTCACTATACCCATCGTAGGATTTTCATTTTTAGTGCATATATATAAGTGTTTATAAGTATATCTATATATAATATATATATATATAATATATACTTACATACATACATATATATATACGAGGGCTATCCAGAAAGTAGATTACGTTTTGGAATAAAAAAAAATAAACAAAGTATAGGAAACAAATTTTATTATATACAGATGAAAGCCACACTCAAATACTACTTTCTACATAGTCACCATACAAATTAAGGCATTTATCGTAGCGATGTACGAGCTTGGAAATTCCTTCGTCGAAAAATTCGGCCGCCTGCGCCTTCAACCACTTCGTTACCTCTTCTTGCCTTCCATCTTGCACAAAACTTGTGGTAACCAAGCTTTTCGCTGATGATTTCGTGCAACAAACTTCGCGAAATTTGTGGAAAACTCAAAGAAAGTTCCGTTATTGTGAAATTTCGATTTTCACGGACTTTAGCATCGACTTTTTCGAGAAGTTCGGCGGTCACTATGCTGGGTCTCCTACTTCGATCTTCGTCGTGAACATTGGTTCGGCCATTTTGAAATCTTATGACCCACTGACGCACTCCACCTTCAGTGATAATGTTGTCCCCATACACTTCACGAAGCTGCCGATAGATTTCTATCGGTTTACAGTTTTTTGCAGTCAGAAACCTTATTACTGAGCGCACCTCGCAGCTCGCGGGATTTTCAATTAACGCAGACATTTCAAACCGTCACAGTATCTGAACGGAGCACAGCACGAACCTCTCACTAGCACGGCTAGATGCAGACTGAGCTGCGCAACGCTCTGACCCCAAAGATGGCCGCGCTAGCCCCGCCCCTAGCGGACACAGACGGAAACGTAATCTACTTCCTGGATGGCCCTCGTATATATATATATACTTACATACATAGTATATAATATATACATACACACATAACATAGTAAACGTTGCTCTATATGCAATATTTTTAATTACCTAAAATGTTTTTCCGTCCATTTTGACGAAACTCGAACTACAAAGAACAGAAAAATGTCTTGCGATTTCAATGTTATATTGCATAATAAAATGCTTAATACTGATTTTTATACTGATATTGATGAGAACGATACGTTATCTAAATTGAAATAACTATATAAAGAGATACATATTTAGAAACAAATAAAAGGATTTCATAACTAAAAAACTATACATTTATTGCAGTTATTACTAAATTAGTTACAGCAGTTTGTTTAACTACATACTGACACTTATTTTTAGGTAATCAATTAGTCTTCATACAGAAATACATAATAAATTCTAGAAAAAGATTTAATTTTAATTTAATTTATTAATATTATTGTTCGTACTTGTAAAGGCAAGTATGGAAAATGTCTTGGTTTTTAAGAGTAACATTATTCTCTCTTATTCACCATTATCATTTTCAATCAGTTAAACAATTACTGTACACTATCGTATTTTTACGCAAATGAAAATTTAACAACGAGTAGCTCTCGTTCTACTTTGCTTTTCGTGCATAACTTCAGTCAAAAATGAAAATAAATGTCTACAAACCTATTAAACGTTTTCACTTTTCACTTTAAAGAAATGGCAGAGGAGGCGAATAACAACTTTGTAAGGCCCGTTGCACTTTTTTGTCGGACAGCGAGATTTATTTTATAATCAAACCATTACGGCGAAAAAATATCGATCAGAAAGTAACACTAGTTTGTTTGGAAATATTCTTTTTCATGCCTGACAAAAGTGCATAGTGTGATCTGAGCAATAATATTCGGAAGCCATTCTTTTTTCCCATCGTTTAAAATCTATTACAACAAAAATGCAAAACAATTAAAAACATTTATGTAGATTTATTTCCTTACTGATACATTCGGAAAAAGAATATTTAAAAAACAAATCATGCAAATCAAAAAACTTGTGATTATGCGATATTCAGAATGATTTAACATTATTTTTCGTATTTCCTTGTTAAAGTGGACATCGCACGCTGTCAATAAATTGGCAAATATAATGATCTAAACTCTAATATGCAAATTTCAAGTGTTTTCAAAGGTTTAATTTATGCAGAAGCCTTAAAAGACGAATAAAGAAGTACCTTTATTTTTATGAAAGCAAAATAAAAAATTATATTTCTTGCAACGACATTATAGGTAGCATACGTATTCTTATGTTTTTCTAGATATTACAGCGCATGGTCCATGCCAGCTAGCACGAGTGAAGGGTAAATGCAAAGGTTTCTTCAAGAGATATTACTTCGAGTACGAAACTTTCAAATGCGAGTCGTTCTTTTACGGTGGATGTGGTGGTAATGCGAACAACTTTGAAACGAAAGAACAGTGCATGAAAACGTGTTATCCTCTATTTCTAGCAGAAAGTAAGTATTACTAAACTACTGGTTGGTAAATTATGAAGTTCATTTTCTTCGGTATAAATAATTATGCAAAGAAATTCGTTGTACGTGCATAATTCTTTAAAGGCAGAAGTATATTTTTAACGCGGTGATATAAATACAGTTAAAATTCCTTATAAAGAACATTAAGGGACCGGAAGTTTGGTTCACTATCTCCGATTCCAAAACGAAAAGTCAATTATCTTATAAAAATAGAATGATGCATCACAAAATGCTAATAAACTGTTTAAAATTATAACACCTATCATGAAAAGTGAAAATAAATCTAATTTTAAAAATTAATATTACGATTTAATTAAATTTATAATTAAGCGCCTTTATTAAATTTGATAGCCGTTCTTTTCCAGTTACACTATATGTTAACAATCTTATATGATAAATTTTTTAACATAAATATCATTCCTCTAATTCTCCCTCGAAGTACGAATTTATGAATAATTATTTGTCCCTGAAAATATAAAACCAATAAAATCAATAACAAAATACATTGAAGAATGTGCCTCCAATTTTATCTAACTCTCGAGCACAAAAGTAATCTAATTATCTCCTCGCGAATCAGAAATTGAAGAATATTTTATCCCTGTTTTTGTCCGAAATGTTGAAGATTCCATCACTTTCAATATTCATGTTAGAATTTATGTGAATAAAACTTTATTTATGATATGCGTAGCACCCTTGCATCCGCTGTGGTAGGGAGTTCACTTTCCATGTGTTGCTTTCATCAACATTTCCATCAGCATCAAAAGAACAATCTTCGATGTCAGCATTCCTCATTTTAACATTTATTACAATAACGTCATTGCTTCGGTCTCCGCATATGAAATTGTGAAATCTAGTGTGTTTTGCAATCATGAAATGGTAACTAGGTCTATTTAAAGTTCGTATCTTTTGACGTCTAGCACAGGCATGAAGATGAAAACAACAGAGGAAATGCATAAAAGCCCTTTTATTTTATCATAAATACGTTAACAGATGGCACGGTTTTACCTGCGCACAGCTAAAACACCGTCATGCGGTGAGAACTTAAAAGATAATAATAAATTTAAAAGATAAAGATGTAGTGCTAGAACACACAATTTAATATAAATTAATAGGCTGACTCAGAAACCTACACTGGTGATATATTAACTAGACGGCCAGAATGCGTAGCCGATACTGAGATTAACATCTAGAGAACCACTAGCAAACGTGCACTTTCACAAGCGAAATCACGCTCCGTCTAAACTATCGATATCAGTAACGTTATGCCGCGATATTATGAATTATGAATTTTGTAATGTGTTCGGCCCATAGAAATGTTGCCCTAGAGGCGCCAGATAAAAATACATCAACTGAGGTGCCCAGAAGAGAACATTTAACAAATGTGAAAAAGAAAACATTTTCTCCTAAGTTTGACAGATTAAACTAGAGAATATGAGATAAAAATCACTGTAGAGATAAAAAAATAGGTACAATAAATACAAATGAAAAATTCAAATAGAAAAATAACTATATGCCATATAAACAAATACAGGAGTGCAGGTGTAGAGCATAAGCTGGAAAATTTAAATCTCTTAGAAAATGTGCAGCATAAAGACGTAATTCTTTATCCTGTTGTAGAGTTTTGTCTTGAAACAAGTTAAAATTGAAGCGATGGTTACAAGTAGTAGCTTTGTTATAAAAATTTTATTGATCTTGTTGAGAAACTTATGAATAGTTTCAATATCGGGGTCCTAGTACTATCTTTGATTGCGTAAATAGAAGTGTGCATTAGTAATGATGCACAGATATTTATTTCTCACTTGCTGGAGTTTGAGCATGTCACTTTTTGGTAAAGGTAGTCCAAGCCGGTGAAACCGGTCTGTCTAAGCTTCTTATTCCACCGGCTTAAATACTCTTATGCCCCTACTTCATCTATATCCTGGATAGGAAATGCTAGGGGAAATAAGAGAATGCAGGAGAGGTTCAAAAATTAAAATAACTGTTAGTAAAACTGAACAGGACCCTATAGATAATCATTTCATCACTTGGATCAGCCTACCGAAAACAATTTCGAATGTTGGTTCTGTAACAAGTCGCCAAGACTTTCCTAGAACTATCCTAGTTCCTTTCCTAAACTAGCAACCCATCGAGAAGATAAACGCTATGATCTACGTGTTTTTCATACTTGTCCAAACTGTTTAAAACCAGCTGCATCCTTCAATGACGCATCAAACACCTACTCTCACTTCTATCCCTCACTATTGAAAATTTCAAAATTTCCATCATAATATTAAGCTTGAATAAAGCTCTCTCTGACAACTCAACCTAAGAATTAGAATGGAATCAGAGAAGTCATTGATAATTTTGGTTCAATGAGTACGTACCCATATGGTGTCTTAAGTTATGCTTATTGTGTCCTCATTCTCCTAAAATTAGGCTTACTCCTGTTCCGCAGAATCTTTGTTCAGAACACACGGAAAAGTGGGTATAAAATAAATGAAAAATAACGAACGATGGATAAAACGTAACGTAAATACATTTTTCTTTGATAAAGATAAATGAAAAGTAACATACAGTTTTCTTTGAGATTGAAATGTGGATCCTAACATCCTAAATGTGAGTGATATTAAGGCTTAGTAAATTTGTCTTAATACTTGCAAGACTTCTGAAAAAATTAGGAAAATTAGAAAACATTTGGGAATCGAATGTATCCATGTAGTTCATTATAACTGATTTTCACACCATTGGGAGTTCCCCAGATCAGTATACGAAAACATTAAGTGTGTAGGAAATTGGATGGGAATATAAGGCTTATTCGTTATTTCCGAGGGCTTCGTTGCAAGCCCTGTTCGTTATAGTGGGGTTCGACTGCCTATATATAACGTAAATCGAATAGCTTGAAAGGAAAACAGAATAGAGATATCAATTAACTACGCAGAAAACTCAACATTGTTCTTTAAGCATATGTTGTCTGTTTGCTGTTTCTGCAATAAGATATAGCATCTACCCTATATACACCGCGCAAAAAAAAAAAAAAAAAAAAAAAAAAGGGACAGTTTTATATCTTTTGTTCTACTAGGCCGATTGACGAAATTCAAATTGCGTTTTCATGTCTCGAAAGAGCGGCTTAGGATATATATTAGATTATATATAGCATTATTCTAACATAGGTATTTTGACTAAAATTGGGGTCTTTTTCTGAAATAACATACCAAGTTTTTTCCATATTTGGATTTCACGACTCATATTATGCCTAAATATTAAATTTTGTAAACTTTGGAGAGACATTTACAAAAAATTCAAAAAATTTAGCTTGGCTCTTTTTTTTTTTTTTTTTTTTTTTTTTTTTTTTTTTTTTTCAGTTTGCGCCAAGAATAATTGACTTTTTGACTATTTTTCTCTCCCCTTTCATTGTGCAGGAGCGGAAAAAAAAAAAAGTCACTTCGTTCCTACTTTCAAGTAATTTTAACAAGTGCCTAAACCACATTAGATATTATTATTGCTTTTAACAAATATGCGAAATTTGAAAACGCGCCAATATATGAACTCACGTATATCTTCGGAAATTTTGAATAAATAGCTCTAATTTTTGCAGGTATACTTGGAAATACATCTACTTTAAGACGATGGTAAAAATCTTATAGTTTATAATTCAAAATTCTTTTCCCAAAAATTTATAAAAATTATTTTAAAATACAAATTTTAAAATAAATCATAAAAAATGGGTGAATTTTATTTGGAATATACCTAAATTTTGAACTGCGAAAGAAGGAATCAAGAAAGTGTAATAAAATAGAGGTATTTATGAATACATACCAATTTAAATTAACTTTGAGGAGCTAAAATTTTGAGAGCTAATTTTTTAAAAACTACTCGTGCGATTTTTTTAGAAAACATGGCAGTTTGGCATAACATAAGTCGTAGAATCAAAAATATGGAAAAATTTTTAGAGTTAATTTTTTTAAAACTACTCGTGTGATTTTTATAAAAACTTGGCAGTTTGCATAACTTGAGTCGTAGAATCGAAATATGGAAAAATATTCGCATGTCATTCCAGAAAAAGTCCGATGTTTATGTCAAATATCTATATTAGAACAATTGCTGTATATAAATCTAATACATATCCTAAGTCGCGCTTTCGAGACATGGAAAACGCAATTTGAATTTCGTCAATCGGTCCATTAGAACGGGAGATATAGAACTGTCCCATTTATTTATTTATTTATTTTGCGCAGTGTACAACATAAGATAATATTCTCTATACCAGGTCTTTCCGTTTCTGGAAATATTCTAGAGTTCTGATTTTTTAGTATTGTGAAATTTACGATCTTCACAGCAGCTACCAGTAGTATCATAATATGTATTAATTGAACATTAACGTAGAAACTGGGAGGCATATCTAGAAAGACTACAATGGATAAGTTTTGTCTAGGAAGCAATCAGGCAAAACTGATCGTTTAGATCAGGGGTGGTCAACAAGTCGATCGCTAGGCTAATTTTGGTCGATCGCTCGGAATGACTAGAGTGGAATTCCGTATACAGTGGACATTGAAGCGATTGTAGAAGACAAATCCTTTTAGCAATACTTTAATGCATTCTGGGAATTTTCCGAGGTAATAAATTCCTAGAATTCTGACAGCCTGACGCTGTGATCTCTGCCCATCCAGCACAATACATTTTGACTTATGTTTTACACTTGTTACCGGACGCAATGCTTGAACGCAGCTGTTAGGGCTCCGACTCATCGAAGAACACAGTCAGTTAGCTTCAATATTTGGTAGTGTCATAAGGTAGCTTCTTTTCTGTTGTATTAACAGTGTTATTATTAATCAATATTATTTATCCTCAGTAACCACTTGGGTTTCAATTCTACTTCTGTTTCAAATGTAAGTACCTTTCCTTTCTTTTAAATCAAATTGCTTTTCTTTATATCTATTTGCTTGATAAGTGAGCATTCCCAGCAACAGATCTCTAAACTGCGGTTATGACACTGAGAGAAAAAT